GCCTCTGCATGCACAGAGACTGGTTGGAGATGACACGGAAGAATCCCTTTTTGGCAATACGAAACCACACCTAGTAAATTTTTAAACGCCTAACTGGTTTCTCTCCACGTCCACACCTTTAGTTTGCCTGGGGAGGTAGTGAATGGGGGAAGGGTTTTTTTCTGTAGTCTGAAGTAAATGTGCTCTAGAGATCAGTATTTCTCACGCTCTTTCTCAGCATTTTGTTGGGGAAAAGGAAGCAAGTTCAGACTAACTCCCAAAGAATATCAGGAATTATACAGATACACTATTTAATTGAAACGTCTACATTCTCTGACTGAGAGCTTTTTGGGGAAATAAATAAGATTTAATAAGAGATGTTCGAATTGACTGCAGATGGAGGTTAATTCCTGAAATGTACAGAAAGAACACAAACGTTTCGGCTTTTTATATATAAGGACTTATATATTCAATATTTTATTTAGTTGCGTGTAGCATGGGTGTAGCAAAAAAAAAACGTTCTATTTTTCAGCTTTTATCATGTAGGTTTCTGATGACAAAACCCTAAGTAAAAATAGGTGCATTAATAATGAATACAATACAAAATGTTCTCATTTAGTCCTGTGATATCAGGTATTTATGCTTTAAAGTAATTCTTACAGATGTACTTGTTTAGAAAACCCTTGCCAATCCATACGTGTGCATTACTTTTTCACATACTGTACATAAATATGATTCACTGAGGCGTTTTTAAAACTGTGTTTAGTGTCGTTGGCTTTGCCTTCTCCATCAAACCCAAAACACAAAAGCGCAAATGTGAACTATGAAATATGACATTGATGTCTGTTCATCTCACGCCTCAGGAAGGCATAAGACTGACATTGAGTCTTTCCTCCAATAACAGGCACAGAGAAAAACCTAAATTCTCACTGTCCAGATTACAAGGACAAAGAAATGTGAGGAAGGGTCAGGTAAAAGACAGTCACATTCTTGTATTCAATTTTAAGAGACTTTTAGTACTGTTTTACAAAATAACATGTCATCGAGGCAGTCGCTGTGCTAAGATTGGGAGAGCAGTTCTTGAGACACCCCCTGTGCCCAGAACTTGAACACTGAAATTCTGGGTGCACCTGCTACATCATGCTTTCTGTGTTTTGCAGCCGATCTACTGAATGATTCTAAAATGTAATATGTTTATTCTCGAGCTCATTGTTCAGCAAAATGATGATTATATGCTTTTGTGATCTTTTCTAATGCTAAGATCCAGTAAGAGGGTGTCACGTACTCTGGAAAATTCAGTACACTATGTGTTATAGCCTGTACATGAAGTAGGAGGGAGACAGAAATGTCCTGACTTTACTTTGTGTTCATGTTATAACATACTGTAGACACAGTATCTGCATTACCTTGCTATTATTATGATTGCTGATTTTTTTAAATCAGACAGCTTTTGGTTACACGTCCTTGTTGCATCTTTGTCACTAGTGTTACAATGTTATATATAATGATTTAAAGAAGGCTTAGCTGCAAAATCCGAACTAATCATAGGCAAGACCATTTACATACTGCAACTACTTGATTTACTTCTTCACATGCGTTAGTTAATGACTAGGACTCCAATGGTAAAAGCCACTAATTGTTCAATTGATACTGTGCAATATGCTAAGCCAGAAGTATTTTCTCAACAAGTTTTTACTTTCATAAAGGGCAGGGTTTAAGAAAGGAATGCAAACCTTAAGAATTGAATTATTTAGTTACATAAACAGTGTTACTTGAATAATGGCGGAATTGTTTTGCAACACTAGACGGAAAGCAGAATTCAACAAGACCAACCAGCAGTAGAGACCAACGAAAATAAGAGAAACATCCAATTCTCAACAAATTCATTTTTGTGAAACAAAATGTGAAAAATACATCATATTCTTTTCCTTTTAAGGATACTGATAGTTAATATTAATTGTCATGTTTATGTTATCAGGACATGTTTTTATATTTAACTGAGCTTACAATACAAGTACAGGAGAAGAGAACCTCCAGCTCCCAGCAAATACCAGTGATCACTGGCTTATACAGTAAATACAGGGGTAATAGTGATTCTATCAAGGTGCTCTCCACACAGGCACCCCCAAACCAATACTATGGCCAATGTACAGCCTCCTTGACTGATTATACAGGGGGGCCTTAACTACCTCATCAACATTTGAGTGGATGCTCAGACAACTTAACGACA